CCTGAGGCTTGCCGCCAAAGTTAGCCCCGAAGTATGATGGGCCTTATCAAATTCTCAGGTATGCCTCACCAGTGATCGTAGAACTTCGAAAAGTTGACGGCGGAAAGGAGAAAACGGTGAACATCAGCGAATTGAAACCGTACCACATGGCTGTAACCGTTTAAAAAAAAAAAAAAAAAAAAAAAAAATAATAATAATAAAAAAATTAAATAATAATAGAAAATATTTGAAGGAGTAAATTTGGTGACCAATCGAGACAGTTCATTCATTCAACCGCGAGCTGTCAGCAAGGCAAGACGTACCGGACACTTTTAAAGAAAGTAAATTTAAAATAAAGAAAATATGAATAACGACGAGAAGTGGCAGAACAGTTTGAAGCGGTTCCGTGAACGGATGGAGAGGAGAGGTGAAGCTCCCAGGACACAGGCACTGGAAGCAGCCAGCACCACAGGTACTAGAAGTGCTTGCTCAGCGCGTGCAGACGCTATGCACGCGGCGTCGCGACACCTAAAGCTGATACATGTGACAGCGACATTCGAGGCCAACGCTAACACCGCCAACGTATCCAAGGCCGTCAACACCACTACGCAGCTAACCGACCACAAACCCACTACAAGTGAAATGGATGCACGAACAACACAAGCCGCCATGAGACGCACTATCGCGGCCCACGTAGCCACAACGCCATGCATCGTCGGCCGAGTAGTTGTTCAGGAAATAGATGAACCAAATCAAGAAGAAGTCCACGGGAGTCCGACGAGTGGAAGAACACCAAGCGACAGCAGCAAGGCTAGTAGCGATACGTCTAGCTCAGATGATGCCACGGTACCGCGACAACCACCAGTGATCGAACTCTCCTCGGACCAGGAGAATACCGAACCTGAGAGGGATAGGTTGGAACTGACCTTCCCACCGGGACAAGGTGGAGTCTCCCTGTACCGAGCGGACTTACTCTCCCTAGAAGATGGATCCTGGCTAACGGACACCGTGATCGACGCCTGGGCAAAGTACCTGGAGACAATGGAACGAGTCATGCGCTATATAGGACAAGGTGAAGGAGCGCCCGGATGCATCTCCGAGCCTTTCACAGCGGAGATGGCAGCGAAGAAGCGGGCTCACATGTTAGCTACCTTCAGACATCATCAAGACGCAAAGACGACCAATGACGCAGAGGTAACAAGCACACCAACTTTAGCACCACCACCCGCGGAACAGCTTCCCCCAGAAGGTATAAAAGTACCCATCAACGACGCACTCGGAACAGGACTTGAGGCCTTCCCAGAAATCGCCGAAAGAGTCAGGAGGAGTCTCATAGACCTCACGACCGGCACAGGAAAGCACCGGCTGAAGTTTAGTACCACCAGATATCAAGTGGCTATGTATCGGTGGGGCGTACACATACGGAGGAAGCCAACATCAATAAAGACAGCTGCAAAACCCAACTAAAGAAGGAAGATACCCAGGAAAGATTACAAGTTATAACGTGAATTAATTGAATTTTAGTCTGTACTTAAAGTAAAAAAAAAAAAAAAAAAAAAAAACTAGTTTATAAGTCTATGGAATTGAAAAAAAAATAATTGTATTAGAACGTGAAGATTATACAAGAATTAAAAGCAAGTTAAAGCAGAAAAAAAAAAAGGGAGAAAAAAAAAAGAAAACAAAAGATATATATAAAAGAAAAATTTGTAATATAATTTAAGACTTGAATTTA